CCCACTCCACCTGAGAGCTCTTGGGCTGTGGAGGGCCTGTGGCAACTGCAGTGGGCCAGGCCTGGTAGAAAAGATGTAGATCTTGTTATGTAGGATTTGCGCTGTAGGTGGACCGAAGCAGCAGGTCAAGAGTGTTGAATTCTCACTAAGGGGTTGCTGACACTTTGTGGTCCTGTGTTTACCTTAATGCCTAAGGTGAGTATATCGTTCAAGGGTCCAGGGACAGTCAATGCAACATGCGTGGGGAGTTTTCCCACTGTAAGGTAAATGGATCCTTGGTTACTAGGAATCCACCTTGGGGTTGGATTTAGCAAAATGTGTTGTATGTTGTTAGACATCTGTTGTGTATTTGTCTCCTGAGGGTATTGTGCACGGCACTGTGTAGTTTATAGCCCTACACTGGAAGGATGGTAAAGGGAGTCGCTAGGTTGATAGCCTAAAGAAAACCTTCTGACTGTGGGATTCGCATCAATGATAAGAAATGTGAGCATTTGCTGGGGTTGTTGTCAGATAGTATCAGAGAATAGTTAGGACAGAGAGGTGATTTCTTCTTGACAGAATGTGATAGAGGCCAAAAAGCCATTAAGAAGATACCTCGGCTTCCAGTGACAGCAGAGTGGATTCACATTGATTGGGCATTGTTATGGAAGGCTGACTAGCTGGAGGACATCAGGCTGTGCTGTGCTTCTCTAGGGAGGACATGTGCCCTTCTCTCCTGATTAGAAAGGTTAGAGTCAAGATTCTCAGTGCCCATTTTCTTCAAGGCCCAAAGTTGAGAATTATTTCCCTAAAGAGAAATTTGTTTGAGTTTCTGGTGCTCCAGGAAATGGGTTGGCAGGACACAGAAATGAGAAACCCTGAGGCCAGGAAGAGGCCAATCCTAGGAGACGTTTTGCCTCCAGATTCATTTTAAGGAATACCTGTGCTTCCCGAGGTGTGTGCTTGAGATTTGGGCTCCATAGCCAGCATTTGATCTCGCATTCTTAATGGCAGAGCCAGGGCCTCTGGCACCATTTCAAGGCCCAGAATCCCATCCAATTTCCCTTCACATAGGTTACAGATAAGCAAGAAAGTATCTGCCTTAATTTGAACAGTTCTGGGAGAAAAACCGGGGGCCTTGTCCTAGGGCTGTGGAGACTTAGTTATTCAGCTGGGTGACTCCCGTGGGAACAAGGAACACTTTAGCTACTTCTTATTCTTTTAACACCAATGGCTGTGGGAGAGGGAAAGACTCAAGGCCAGGGCTCAGCTCCCAGAGTCCATTGCCTCCCACAGCTGCTGCATTTGGGAGGGGGCCTGCTGGATGTCCTTGCTGTCCACTGGGGCAGTATTGAAGCCTCATTGAAGTCTGCTATACTGCTTGCTGGCTGTAAGAACTGGTCACAAGGATGAAAACTGGGGAACGGGTTTGGGGGAGGTGACAAGGGTGGCATGGAAGTCTAGGGGACAAAGGGAACAGAGTTGGGAACAAATTGGTTAACTATCATTGCCACTCACTGTGGTGCTTTCCCCCTTTCCTTTGGATTCTGCTTTGAAAAGAATAAATTTGTACTTGTTTACTTTGGTTCCTCTGGTTATGCTTTCTGACTCTGATATTTCATATCTTTCCCTTATTTAGGGTTGGGAAGACAGGGTAGACCAAGAAGCCACAGAAGTACTATAAAACATAAGGCCACCAGATGAGTTCAACACCTGTGGGGCACAAAAAGACCTTCCCATTGGGCCCATCTGCCACTGTTACCTGGATCAGTCACCTCTCAGTGCCCCTCCAACCCTTCCCAAATTAGCTAGTTGGCACCTTATGAGGTGAGCTGTATATAGCAATGCTTGCTAAATTTCATCCTCCTTAATCTGAGGATTTTTCACCACCCCGAAGCATTTTAAGAAAAGTCAGGACAATGCATTGAGTTTTAATAAAGTTATATATATTTAGTTTAAAGGTCTACCTTTTATTCTGAGATTATGGATAAGTGTGTGTGTGTGTGTGTGTGTGTGTGTGTACACACACACACACACACACACATTCTGTCAATAAATAAAACCCGGTCAGTCCCTCTTTCCCACTCTATCACCCAGGCTAGAGTGCAGTTGTGCAATCTCGACTCACTGCAACCTCCGCCTCCCAGGTTCAAGCAATTCTCCTGCCTCAGCCTCTTACCAAACTATAACAACACTGTCCAGTATAAAATAATGCAAGCCACATATTTAATTTTAAATTTTATAGCAGCCATATTACAAAAGTCAAAATAGATGAAATTAATTTTAATAACCCAATATATCCACAATATTACCCTTTCAACACGTAATCAGTATAAAACAATTATTAATGAGATTTTAAAATATATTTTTAACTAAGTTATGGAAATGTCAAGCAAGCTGACACATCCAGTTGGGGAAAACAAAACAACAACAACAAACAAAAACAAGAAATCCAGATAGATCCAGACAGTTTATTTCTTACGGAGACAGCAAAAGCAAGATCAACAATGGTATCAGCTCTCTGCATCCCTCAACCCACAGAACAATACAACAGAACAACAAAAGGGGCCAGATGACAGGCAACATGAATGGTAGGACCCTGTGGTACCGTGTAGCTAATGACACTGCAGATAAGCAGTTTTATGGCCTGCAGCTGTACCCTCTGGTGTGGGAAGCAGGCAGAAAGCCTATACTTTACTAGAATGAGGGAGGCAGGTAACCAGCTGCCTCATGGCAACCTCCCTCAAGATAGGGAGATGACTGAGAAACATTCTTGTAGCAAATTCTCACAAGACTGCCTGTCTTTCCGTGTTCCAGGAGGATCACAGGGTGTTCTGCCAGGACCTGAGTCAGCCTGCAGTTGACCCTGGCCTGTGTGGCCTACGTGAATAGTAATAAGGTTATCAGGATGCAGGCATAGAGCAGTTCCTTTATAGAAATCCAGTGTTTATAGGCCGGGCACGGTGGCTCATACCTGTAATCACAGCACTTTGGGAGGCCGAGGCAAGTGGATCACCGACATCAGGAGTTCGAGACCAGCCTGATCCACGTGGAGAAACTCCGTCTCTACTAAAACTACAAAAATTAGCCGAGTGCAGTGGCAGGTGCCTGTAATTCCAGCTACTTGGGAGGCTGAGGCAGGAGAATCACTTGAACCTGGGTGGTAGAGGTTGCAGTGAGCTGAGATTGTGCCACTGCACTCCAGCCTGGGCAAAAGAGTGCGACTGCATTTCTAAATCAGTCAATCAATCAATCAATCCAGTGTTTTTGTTTTTGTTTTGTTTGTTTTGTTTTGTTTTTTTGTTTTTCACATTTATTGCACTTCTCAACTCAGGCTAGCCATGTGGTACTCAAAGGCCACATGTGCCTAGTGGATACCATATTGGATAGCCAAAGTCTGTAGCATACAGAAGTCAGAATTACTGGGCTATTAGCAAAGGAAAACTTTCTGAGGTGTCAGAGTCAATGTGTACATGTGTATGCTGGGGTGGGGTGGAAAGTCAGAACGGCACTAGCCTTGGGTGACTGGAGGGCAGGGGTGAAGCAGCCCCCCGGGTTCATTGAGAAGGGGCGGCAGAGGAGATGGAGGGGTATTGCAAACACACGAGCTTGCCTTTGCTCCTTCCTGCTGTCTTCCCTACCACCCTGCCTCTCAGCAGAGCTCTGGCTGTTATCAGAGGCTGCACGAGGGCTCTTCTACCTCTCTCACTCCTGGATGCCTGCTGTGGCACATGTGCCACACTCACTGGCCTGTCTCTCCAGCATGACCCCAGGGTACTTTCTATCAGTTCCCTGCCTGCCTTTATCTGGAAAGGCCCATCTTCTTTTCAAACTCTTCCTCTTCCCCCACCTTCCACCTCTGACACTCAACTCCTTTCCCCCATTCTTTCTCCTTATTCTCATCTTTTAAGTTATGGATTTCTGAAAAAGACAGTGTTTTAAAATATCATCTTGGTTTTCAAGTGATGCTTGAACTTCTCTCCTAATCTGGGCTACATTTTGTTTGCCTTTAACATGCCCATCTCCCTTAGTCCTATTTTTCTCTTGCATTTTCTCCAGCATTCCTGCTGTCTCCATCCCAACTCCACAGGCCCTGCCCATACATGACTTCTCCTTTGCCCATGGCTTAACTTTGACTTGGAGTAGGAGCACTAAAAGCGGCACAGAGAACTTAGCAGCTCTGACTTTGTCAATTGGGATCAGACCTGGGGCTAGCTGGGCCACTTCCAGAAAATCCTCGGATGCCTCTTGGTGATAAGCATTATCACCCATGATTTCCAGTGGGAAAACAGAGGCGCTAAGAAGTGTAGGGACTTGCCCAAGCCAAGTTCCAACCTTGTGTTTGTTCTACTACAGCATAATTCAACCCAAATATTAGAGTTGCCATTTTTATCAGTTCTCTGTATACCTCCCCTCCATCTCATATTAACCATATGGCATTGGGATTTGGGGCAAGTCATCTCACGTTAATCATATAACATTGGGATTTGATTTGCTTAGTTCATTAAGAGTTATCCTAAGAACTCTGGAAAGATTCCCCAAGACCGATAGCATCTTCTGCCATTTTCTAATCAGAGTGCTATGGTTTGAATGTGTCTCCCAAAATTCATATGTTAAGACATAATCTATATCATGGTAGTATTAAGAGTTAGTTAGGGCTTTTCGGAGGTGATTAGGTAATGAGGGCTCCACCCTTATGAATGGAATTAGTGTCCTTTTAAAAGAGGCCTGAGGGAGTTTGTTTGCCCCGCTGCCATCGGAGGATGCACTCAGAAGACGGTATCTAGGAAGCAGACAGAGCCCTTACCAGATACCAAAGCTGCTGGCACCTTGATCTTAGACTTCCCAGCCTCCAGAGCTATGAGCAATAAATTTCTGTTGTTTATAATTTACCCAGTCCGTGGTATTTTTGTTACAGCAGCCCTAATGAACTAAGATATAGAGTTTGTTGCTTATCTTTTTGTTTCCTTTTGGATATGAGTGTGCTCATCATAGGGGATGGTTTAATAAATTGATGGCAATCCATTTAAAAGGAACAATTTATTTATTGCTTAAAGAACATAGAGCATAAAACACTAATAGTATACCTGGAAAAAAAACAAACAAGATTGTTAAAGAAGTCTTCACAGGCATTACGGCAGCTTGCTCTCCCTAACCTTAATTGATGGGGGTTAAGAGGGGAAGGCTCAGAATAAGGGTAACAGTTCATAATTTCTTCATCTCTTCTCTTAGCTGGTGAATAACAACTAGCTCCAGTCCTAAAAACAACAGAACAAACATAAACAGCAGCAATAAATCATCCTTGAGCAGGAATGCAGCTCTGTTACCTGAACAGAGACAGGACACAATCTAGTATTAACTGCTGCAAGGCAGGCACTTAAATTCACTGTGGCAGGTCCTAGTGCTTAGTAGAAATTACCTCATCTTTTCGTGTATATTTTAGGAAATATTACAAACCAAAAGAAAAGCTAAAACATATGCAAACCAACCAGCTGTATGGCCTCTAGACTAGACTGCTTTTGGAAGCATGGCTGAATCATCTGCTGGTACCATAGCACAGAAGCAATAAAATTAATTCTCATTCAGTGCAGTGGTGCACAGCTGTAGTCCCAGCTACTCAGGAGGCTGAGATGGGAGGATTCCTTAAGCCCAGGAGTCTGATTTCAGCCAGGGCAACCTAACAAGAGCTCATTTCTAAATTAATAATAATAATTCCCAAATTGACAAAGAGAAAGTCTCATGGCTGAATCGGATCTCTAAGTCTATTATTTTCTCTACTGCCCTTTTCTACATGACTACAAACTTTGAGCATACTGTAAGTAGCAAAAAAGGTACAGATAAATATAACTGATTCAACATAAGGCAGCTGAAGGGACTCATTTCTAAATTAATAATAATAATTCCCAAATTGACAAAGAGAAAGTCACATGGCTGAATGGGATCTCTAAGTCTATTATTTTTTATACTGCTCTTTTCTACATGACTGCAAACCTTGAGCATATTAAAAGTAGCAAAAAAGGTACAGATAAATATAACTGATTCAACATAAGGCAGCTGAAGGGACAGAAACATGCACAGTTTCATCCAGTCTTCAGTTTGGATGGTGAATCCAAGGTTTGTGTGCCAGGCTAATGGCTCTCATCACTTCTTCTGAAAACGCTGCAATTTTTCCTGTAGAGAAATGAGCTGTAGGGAGGCAGAAAGACACGAAAAATTCATTTGAAATCGGAAGTCCCCTTACCTGATCTGAAATTTATTTACATGAACCCAAAAGAGCTATTGTTATTTGCATTTCTGAGGTTATCTTAGTCTTGAATGTTCCAAAGAATACTGGCCACAGTCAAGAATGCATGCATAATGCTGTGGCCATGATGTTGTCCTTTATGGTGCCCAGTTTATGAAAGGAAGCTTTGTATTAGTCCATTTTTATGCTGCTGATAAAGACATATCTGAGACTGGCAAGAAAAAGAGGTTTAATGGACTTAACAGTTCCACATGGCTGGGAGGTCTCACAGTCATGGTGGAAGGCAAGGAGGAGCAAGTCACATCTTACATGGATGGCAGCAGACAAAGAGAGGAGAGTTTACGCAGGAAAACTCCCCTTTGTAAAACCATCAGATCTCGTGAGACTTATTCACTATTAATGAGAACAGCATGGGAAAGACCTGCTTCCATGATTCAATTACTTCCCACTGGATACCTTCCACAACACATGGGAATTAAAGATGAGATGTGGGTGGGGACACAGCCAAACCGTATCAACCTTTAAAATTGAATATGCTTTTTAAAAAACCAGTATGTTTGCTGTTAAGAATCTGTGCTTCTGTAAAGAATACACAGAGGTAAAAGCTCACTGTAGGGGGCAAAGGAGATGGGATCTCTCTACAGCCATATCCTAAGAATCAGATGATAAAACAGTTGGGATACCCTCTTATCCTAATGAACACCATGGGTTTTAGACTGAGTCTTACCAGCTGCTTCTTACCACATTATGAGACACTTAGAAACTGAGTCAGAGTGCTGACCAATCAGGAGCCTGATGATGCTTTCTAAGTCAGAAACCCTGAACGTTTTGTGGTATAGGATTTAATTTTTTTAACTTGAAATGGTAAAGTGACCAATAACATTCAGCAATATGCGCCATCTTTATAACAAAAGTTGTTTTTGAATATTATTCATTTCAGAACACCCCATACCAGAATGAATTTTTAGTCTGTGAAATGAAAGGAGTATTATGAAACAATCCTATGCTGCACATCACCTACCAAGCCACAATAATTGCCATCCACAGTAACTTAGCAGCTCTTCTCATTCAGTTGCTGAGTGACCCCTGACTGACCACAATTACAACCACTGACTGCTCCAGTTCTTTCTCCTTTGTAGGCTCTTTCTCTTCCCACCACCCCCTAAAGATAGGTTTTTCCTTAGGTTCAGACTTCTTGCCTGAACAGTCAATCAGGCTAACTCAACTAGCCCCACAGCTTCAATGATCATTTCTGTGTATGGGCCTCTTTCCAATTTCTCATTTTCAAAAGCACTTCTCCACATATCCCTCCAAATCCACTTTTTGTTATCCTAATTTCAGTCAACAGCACATCATTTCCCAGTTGCCCAGGCTTTGGTTTCATCTTTGTTCCCCTTTCTGCCCTATAAATCCAATCAATTGTTAAGTTCTGTTTGCTTCTACCACTTGCACTTTTGAAGCTCTAGGCTGTACCCACTCCAATTTCTCCTCTATACTTTCTCCTATAAAAATCTTCCTGAGTTACGCCCCAGGTAAAAAAGCTTTGAAGGCTCATTATGACCTACACCAAAAATCTAAACTCTTCACCCTGGCATCACCACCTCCGAGCCAATGTGCATGCTGCTTTCTCCTGGAATGCACTCCTTTTCCTATCTCCTTATTAAAACCCTACCTATATTTTAAGGCCCCAGTCAAACACCATCTTCTTCATGAAGCTTTCCTTAATATCCATGAACAATCTCTCATTCCTTTAAGTCCCTACCCATCTTGTCAATTTCTCCCCAAATGAAGTCAGAGACTACATCATAAGTATATCACAGCTCCCTGCAGAGCCTAGCTTAAAGTAGATGCCCACTAAATCTAATTTGGGTAAATGAACTAACATTAAAGGACTCTGAGTAAATAAAGTTTACAGCTACATTCCTATGCTGCTCCTCAATACTAACTATAGTCATGTGTTACTTAACAAAGGGACTATGTTCTAAGAAATACATCCTTAGGCGATTTGTCATTATGCAAACATGATAGAGCATACTTAAACCAACCTAGATAGTATAGCTTACTACACACCTAGGCTACACAGTATAGTCTATCATTCCTAGGTTCCAAACCTGTACAGCATGTTACTGCAGTGAATACTGTAGGCAATTATAGCACAATGCTAAGTATTTGTGTATCTCAACATAGAAAAAGTAAGTTTAAAATATAGTATAGAAAATTAAAAATGGGCCAGGTGCGGTGGCTCATGCCTGTAATCCCAGCACTTTGGGAGGCTGAGGCAGGCAGATCACAAGGTCAGGAGTTTGAGACCAGCCTGGCCAATACGGTGAAACTCCATCTCTACTAAAAATACAAAAATTAGCCAGGCATGGTGGCAGGTGCCTGTAGTCCCAGCTACTCGGGAGGCTGAGGCAGGAGAATCGCTTGAAACCGGGAGGCAGAGGTTGCAGTGTGAGCCAAGATCGCCCCACTGCACTCTAGCCTGGTGACAGAGCGATACTCCATCTCAAAAAAAAAAAAAAAAAAAAGAAAAAGAAAATGGTAAGGAGCATGCAGGACTAGAAATTGCTCTGGGTGAGTCAGTGAGTGAGTGGTGAGTGAATGTGAAGGCCCAGGACATTACTGTGCACTACTGTAGACTACATAAACACTATACACTTAGGCTACACTAAATTTATTTAAAAATTAAGTAATTGTGCTATGTTATGAAGGTGACAATGTCACCAGGTGACAGGAATTTCTTAGCTCCAGTATGATCTTATGGGACCACTATCATATATGCAGTCTGTCATTGGCCAAAATGTTGTCATACAGCACACAACTGTACTTACATTGATGAAAACAAAGATGTTTGGTGGGTACTAGAACAATCTTGGCATTAACTGTTCATCTGATTGTTTTAAAGCAGTACTTGGATAAGTGATTTGCTGAGACGAAGGGGCTATATAGAACATAAAAATTCCCCTGGCCTTGGGGAATGGGGATGGTGAGTAGTGCCTGTACTTTAAGGGCACCATGCTAAGCCCATCCTCATACCAACTCCAGTCTCTTTAAAATTGTAAACCTCAACAGTATAAGGTTAGAGTCAGCACACATTTTCTATACAGCTACTTGACCCTCATTTAGCCTACATTGCCTTCTTCTCTTTTCCCTCTGTACACTCTCTTGCGGCTTTGAAAAAATATAGTTGTCATTCAAGTTAGAAATCTGGCATACATCCTTAATGATTCCTTCTCCTTCAACACCCAGTAATTGACAAACTCCCCAGTTCTACCTTTGAAATATATTCTATAATATATCAATGTTCATTGCAGCATTATTCATAATAGCCAAAAGTGAAAGCAACCCAAATGTCCATCAGCAGATGAATGAATAAACAAAATGTGGTATATTGATATTGATATTCCATTGATACAATGGAATATTAGTCAGTCTTAAATGGAAAGAAGTACTGATACATGCCATAACATGGATGAACCCCAAAAATATACTAAATGAGAGAAGCCCAACTCAAAAGACCATGTATTAAACGATTTCACTTATATGAAATAACTAGAATAGGCAGTAGATTCGTAGAAAGTAGATGAGTGGTTGCCTAGTGCTGGGCAGGGGAGAGGTTCCAGGGAAATGGGGAGTCACTACTAATAGATACAAGGTTTCTTTTTAGAGTGATGAAACTCTTCCAAAATTGACTGCAGTGATGGTTGAACAACTCTGAATATACCAACAGCCATCGAATTGTACAGTTTAAATGGGTTTGAGCCAGTCTCACTCTGTCACTCAGGCTAGGGTGCAGTGGTGGGAATCTTGGCTCACTGCAACCTCTGCCTCCCAGGCTCAAGTGATCCTCCCACCTCAGCCTCCTGAGTAGCTGGGACGACAGGGACACACCACCTCGCCTGGCCAATTTTTGTATGCTTTTTTGAAGAGATGGGGTTTCACCATGTTGCCCAGGCTGATCTTGAACCCCTGGGCTGAAGCCATCTGCCCACTTTGGCCTCCCAAAGTGCTGGGATTACAGGTGTACACCACTGCACCCAGCCTAAATGGGCGAATTGTATGGTATGTGAGTTACATCTCAAGCAGTTATAAAAATATTTTTATTGCAGTTTAAAAATCTATATTCTTTCCATCTCCATTGCTACTACCTAGTCCAAGTTACCATCCTGTTATTAGAGTACCACAAAGCCTCCTAACCAACCTCTTTGCTTCTACTCTCACCTTCTTCCAATCCATTCTCTAGATAACAATCAGAGTAATCTTTTAAAAGTTTAAAGTAGATGTGATTTTTCTGCCTAAAATTCTTCAAGGGCTTCCCGTTACACTTAAGGCCAAACCCATCCTCCTAATTATGGCCTGCAAGGAACCATACATTCTGGCCTCGCCTACTTCTCCAACCATATGTTAAGCCATTCTCTTCCTTGCTTTAAATACTCCAAAGGTCCTCAAAGACGCCAAGTTATTTCCGAGCATGGGACCTTGCACATGCTCCACCTAAGAGGCTCCTCATCCCGCTCTTTCCCTGAACTTAATCCTTCAGGTCTCAGACTCAATAGCACCTTCTAGGAGAGGTCTATCATGATCCTCCATTAATTCAAGACTGTCTTTATTCTAAGAGCACCATTGACTTTTTTCCTTCATGGCACTTCTTCACACTCTGTACTTTTATATTAGCATAATTTGTTTATTGTCAATCTCCCCTGCTAGATGGCTCCATGAGGACAAGTACAGCAGGTTCTTGAATGACATCATTTTGTTCAGTGTCATTTTGTTACAGTAAGTCCTCACTTAATGTCATCAATAGGTTCTTAGAAACTGCAACTTTAAGCAAAATGACATGCAAAAGGTCTCCAACTAACATTGTTAGTTCAATGTCGTTTCATTATAATGCTTTTGTTTTCTTTTTTCTTTTTTTTTTTTGAGACAGGGTCTCACGTTGTTGCCCAAGCTGGAATGCAGTAGCGTGATCATGGTTTACTGCAGCCTCAACCTCCTGGGCTCAAGCAATCCTCCCACCTTAGCATCCCAAGTAGCTGAGACTACAGGCTTATAGGACTTATAGCTACCAAAATAGGCTAATTATTTATAGAGTCAGGGTTTTGCCATGTTGCTCAGGTTGGTCTTGAACTCCTGAGCTCAAGCGAGCTGCTTGCCTCAGCCTCCCAAAATGTTGGGATTACAGACATAAGCCACTACACCTGACTTCATTACAATGTTGATGGGAAAAAAAGAATCACTTCCCCATACATGTTAGGTGAATTGGTTTGTCAGAATAGTCCCAGTCTGACTGAGTGTGGGTGTGAGTGTGCCCTGCAATGGGATGCCATCCTATCCAGGGCTGGTTCCCACATTGCACTTAGAGCTACTGGGATAAGCTCTGGCCATCTGCAAACCCTGAACTGGAATCACTGGGTACATAATCATCTTACTTGTTTTTATCAGTCTTTCTCAAATGTACATAAAGCTCACATTTATTTCAGTGTTTAATATTAGAAGTGTTTTGGTTTTCATTTAGAAGTCTGATGATGTTTTTGTGACCAGAAATATGCTACAGGAACTTAACTCTTGTTTGTATCAATTAGCCTATAGTAAAATTGGTTTCATTATATATACATCATTTTGCTTAAAGTTACAGTTTCCAAGAACCTATCAATGACATCAAAGATTTCCTGCTTTGTATTTGTCTTATTCATCACTGTACATCCAGTGCTTTTCACTTCATAGGCATTCAATATCTGTTGAATGAGTGAATTTTCACAAAGACCTTGTTCCACCCTACCGTCTTTATTTAGAAGATCTGGCCACCACTACTCCTATGAGAGGAACAGCCAGCAATAATACTGGAGGTAAGGTGGGGGATTCTCTGTATTAAGTGTTTTCTGGTTAATCTGAAAACATACTTCTTACCTTCTCATTTTTTCGTTTTTCCTGTACCTGAAGCTGCTCCAGCACAGACTGAAAATGATTCTGAAAAATAAATTGAATAACGATGAATGCTGAGTCTCAAAGGAAAAAGAACCAAGGAAGACAAAGAGTTTGACAAATAATTGCTTTTTTCATTTTGTGTTGTTTTTGAAACAGAGTCTTCCTCTGTCACCTAGGCTGGAGTGCAGTGGTGCAATCTCGGCTTACACAACCTCCACCTCCCAGGCTCAAATGATTCTCATGCCTCAGTCCCCTGAGTAGCTGGGATTACGGGATCATGCCACTAATTTTTGTATTTTTAGTAGAGATGAGGTTTCACTGTGTTGCCCAGGCTGGACTCGAGCTCCTGGCCTCAAGTGATCTACCTGCCTCAGCCTCCCAAAGTGATGGGATTATAGGCATGAGCCACCGGGCCCAGAAACAAATATTAAACTGCCAGTCATACAAAAGAGCACTCATTTTAAAGGATTTAGAGTATAAAAACTATCCCCCCTAACTACAGCACAATCCAATTTGATTTTATATACACTATAGCATTTTTTTCTTACCCTAAATAATTGTAATGCCCTTATGTTACCTTTTTCTAGTTTAGCACAAATCCTTTGTCTGTGGTGACCTGTTAGAGAAGTTGGTTTAGAATCTGGTGCTGGTGATGCCTCCATTTCCCCTAATTAGGGCAGAGTATCACTATTCCTAACTAGTACTATGTGTAACAATAATCACAACAATAGCATATATCTGTATCTTTCAAAGTGTGCCCTTATCTGTTATCTTACTTGGTTATTCTAAAGGATAACACTCAAAAAGGATATAGTTCTGTGCTCCCCTTTGCTGACTACAGCTCTAAAGAAAATGAAATCTGGCAGGAAATTCCAAATGCTTCAGAACTTCCCTCACTAAAAATGGTGAGCAAACATGGCCTAAACATACATTTTCTTTTTGTTGAAGCTCTTAAACATATATTAATAAAAATAAAGCAAGATATTTATTCTTGTTCAAACATGCACCAAAAATTTAAAAACTAATTATTTTTCTTTACTGCAATGGATACATTTTAATACAAATAACAGGGTTCAATTTACGCCCTACCATTTACTGTGATCCCTGGCAAGTTACTTAACCTCTTCAATTCTTTATCTATAAGATGGGAGTGGTGACAGTAGCTACGTTTCAAGGGTGTGAGGATAAAAATGTGGTAATACATGTACAATTCTTAGCCCTTTATGTGCCTTTTACATAGCAAATGCTCAATATTTCCAATTTTTATCTCAAATCACCTAGTTCCTTCCCCCAAATGCTTATATTAGATGATCAAAATTACTCAGGTAAAAGGAAACAGGGTTATCTTTTATTAGGAGTTTCTAAGAGACTGTTTAGGTTCATGAACAAACAAGAACCCTGCATAGAAATGACATAAGTGGATCTACGGCCATACCACCCTGAACGTGCCCGATCTCGTCTGATCTTAGAAGCAAAGCAGGGTCGGCGTGGTTAGTACTTGGATGGGAGACGGCCTAGGAATACTGGGTGCCGTAGGCTTAAAAATAAAAAAATTTAAAAAAGAAAAAAAGAAATGACATAAGTGGAAACACAAAGGCAAGATACTGAAAGAAAGATATCAGGATTCCTTCATGCCAGCCAAGAACTTACCTTGAGTGTCAGGTTTTCCACCTTCATGATGAGATCCTTCTGTCTTTGTGCTTTTTTCTGAATCTCATGGAGCTTTTTCTCCTTTTTACAAATCTGCTTCTGAATTTCCATGACTAACAGAGATACACAGTAACTTTATGTATTTAAATACAGCCTAAATGAATGGACCAAGATCCAAATCAAATAAAACTCCACTACACACTGCAGCAATAACTTCTTAAGTTTAGCTTTGAGTCTAATGTATGCTTAGAGTCAACCTTTAGCACTGTCACCCACCCTGGTCCCATCCCTTTGTTTTTTCTCTGACTTACCTATTGAACTGGTACCTTCATTTGCCCTATACTGGCCAGATTCAATAAACTTGGCCTGTGTCTGCCTTTTGAGATACTCTTCATCCTCATCTTCCTCATCTTCCTCATCTTCCTCGTCATCCTCGTCATCCTCATCGTCCTCATCCTCATCCTCATCTTCATCCTCATCCTCATCCTCATCATTGTTACTTCTAGAACCACTGAACATCTCTCGAAGCATATAATATTCTACTGGTTTTAAGCAAGAAGAAGGTGAACTATCTAAAATTCTGCAAATAACTTATACTCTAGATACAATTATATTCCTTACTTTCAAATTCCCTGGGCAACCAGTGAATTTTATAAATCATTTTTTTCTGTAGGAAGATTATTCCCTTCATAAAATAAGGACAGCAAATGCAAAACACTGTAACATTCATTCATGTAGTGAATGATCAAGACATTTAGAGAATCTAAGGGTCATAGGAAGTTAAAATACCAGCGGTGGATGGGAGATTGGAATACCAATCTAAAACCCCTAAACTGCCAAGAGACCAATAAGAGGGAAGAAGGGCTGGGTGTGGTGGCGCATGCCTGTAATCCCAGCACCTTGGGAGGCCGAGGCAGGCAGATCACTTGAGGCCAGGAGTTTGAGACAAGCCTGGCCAACATGGTGAATGCCCTTCTTTTCTAAAAATTAAAAAAAAAAAAAATTAGCTGGTTGTGGCAGTACATGCCCACAATCCCAGCTACTTGGGAGGCCCAGGCACAAGAATTACTTGAACCTCGGAAGCGGAGGTTGCGGTGAGCTGAGATCACACCACTACACTCCAGCCTGGGCAACAGAGTCAGACTCTGTCTCAAGGAAAAAAAAAAAAAAAAAAAGAGGCTAGGCACATGCTTGTAATTCCAGCACTTTGGGAGGCCAAGGTGGGTGGATCACCTGAAGTCAGGAGTTTGAAACCAGCCTGGCCAACATGGTGAAACCCTGACTCTACTAAAAATACAAAAATTAGCTGGACATGGTGGTGTATGCCTGTAATCCCAGCTACTTGGGGGGCCGAGGCAGGAGAATCACTTGAACTCAGGAGGCAGTGGTTGTAGATCATGCCACTGCACTCCAGCCTGAGGGACAGAGAGAGACTCCATCTCAAAAAAAAAAAAAAAGAGGGAAGAAGGACGAAGGCATTTTTTTTTTATTGGCCTACGAATTTATGGAAAATGATCTGACACCCAGTCGACACCTCCCATATCTGACGCTCCTGCTTTGCCTTTACTGAAGTACCTGACGAGATGTGACTCTGCTTGTAGCTGTTCATTCCCGAGGATATCACAAATCCTGGGATGGAGCCTTGACTTTCTATTTCCTTGGTTCCATCTTCAGCAATAACTTCCCAACCTGAGAGTAGGGGGTAGTCAAGGAAAACATAGAAGGAAAGGAAAAGGCATAGCTGAAAGAGAAGAGGCTCTTTGGCTAACAGTGCTATTTAATTTAGTCCAACTTTAGACCGTTTGTGTCGGACTTCCTAGTTTGGAGAAGTGTCTTATATTGAATTACACAATAAATAATTTTCTATTACATAAATTTACTGTTCCTAGCTAGAACAGAACATTTCAAAAAATCTTAACTTTTACACATCAAGACTGGCACACAAACACCAGAGGTGAGGCTACATCAGCATGTACAAATGGGGCAGAACAGACTATGCATAAAATATTTTTATAAAGGATACGGGTACTTACGGCTTCAGCATCTGAATGCAGCAGTCTCCTTACTTCCTTTTCCACATCTGGAGATTCAGTGTTCTGAAGCGAAGTTGGGAACTAGAGGGGAATTCGAGTACTGTCATTTAACACCCTGTGTTTTGCAGGAGTGCCCTTCTAGGTACCAATGAATTCAAATGTTAGGTCTCTAAATTCTGATCCAACCAAATTTCTACTTTAAGTAGTGTTATTTATGAAGGAATCTTTAGTCAGGGTCTAGAATTTTGTACAGCAAACTTATTTTTTCCTAATTAAACAAATTACTTGAGACGTTTAATCTTTTCAATCTGCAGCTCTATGTAAAGACCTTTCTCAGAGGTGCAACCCTTAGGTCTCAGTTATTGATTATTTGTCCTGATTTATATTGGCAACGAACTATAATTTCTTATTAGTTATTTAGAAATAATTTGGTTTAAAGATCCAAATTCCCAGATTTCACTTCCTCACATCTTTATTATTAGAGACATTCCTACAAAAACTGGATCTTAGCTGCATGTTCTCCCTTGAATCCAGTTTTACATAATTATCTCCACAGCAACCAATTTGTCATGCCACAAATATAAATTAGGACTTTGAGGGGGTATAAGCAATTGCAAACAACTGATGTTAAAGGTGAACTCTGGCTTCCAAGAAATGGCTTTTGAAATAAATATGAGAGAAAAAAGAGCAGATTAGAATATATGGGGTCACTGGCCAAATTGTATCTTTTCCTATAGGAGTTATCAAACATCAAACAATGAATTCATTTTTCAGTGAATCAAACCCAGTGTATGTGTTTGGGATGAGGGTTAGAGGTGAGAAGGAAGGCTCAAAAATATCTTTTGTGATTTATTTGATTCATTTAAAACTAATGAGCTATTAAATAAAACACACTAAGGGTAAAAATGAAGTTATATTATGATTGCTCTACCTCAGTAGAGCTGATTTCTTCCATTTCTTTGACATCAGGAACCTATGAAGTAAAACACAATAAACAAGTTATATTATGATTGCTATACTTCAGTAAAGCTTAAAGAGCTCTACAACTATTCTTAACTTAGTTTTACATTTAGTAGGGACTCAATAAATGTTGACTTGCAGAGTATAAAAGCCAAGGTAGCTGTGTTCATGGATAGGAAGACTCAACATAGTAAAAATGTCAATTCGCCCCAAATTGATCTTAAAGTTTAACACAATTCCTGTCAAAATTCTAGCAAGGTTTTATGTAGCTATAGACAAGCTTATCCTAAAATTTATATTAAAAGATACGGGCTCTTGTTGGGGCGTGGTGGCTCACACCTGTAATCAGCACTTTGGGAGGCCAGGGTGGGCGGATCACCTGAAGTCAGGAGTTCAAGACCAGCCTGGCCAACATGGTGAAACCCCATCTCTACTAAAAATTCAAAAATCAGCCGGGCAGGGTGGCGCATGCCTATAATCCCAGCTACTCAGAAGGCCGAGGCAGGAGAATTGCTTGAAACCAGGAGGCGGAGGCTGCAGTGATCTGAGATCACACCATTGCAGTCCAGCCTGGGCAACAGAACAAAACTCCATCTCAAAAAAATTAAAAAAAAAAAGAAAAAAATAAATATATGGCCTCTAGAATGGCTAAACAATATTGACCAAAAAAAAAAAAAAAAGTCAGAGTCATCAGTCTTCTGATTTCAGGACCAATTATATAGCGACACTGATATCGGTGGAGAGATTGACACATGGATCAGTGGAACAGAACCCAGAAACAGACCCACAAATACAAGCCCAACTAATGTTTGGCAAGGGTGCAAAAGCAATACAACAGAGGAAGGATAGCTTCCTCAACAAATGATGCTAGAGCTCTTAGGCATCCTTTAGCAAGAAAAGCAAAAGAAAAGAACCTGGAAGTAAACCTCATAGTTTTTACAGAAATTAACTCAAAAATGAGTATCAGGCTTAAAAAGATGTTAAAAAAAAAAGCAGGAGAACATCTTCAGGATCTGGACCAGGAGAAGAGTTCTTAGATTTACTATAAAAAGCAAAATCATTTTCAAAAACTCAATATATTGGACCTCATCAAAACTAAAAACTACATACATGATAAAACACTAGTAGTATTTAGAGCATAAAAGTAACTCTCGAAAGTCAATAATAAAAAATCAATTTAGAAAATAGGCTAAGGCTGGGTGCAGAAATCCCAACACTTTGGGAGGCCAAGGCAGGTGGATTATGAGGTCAGGATATAGAGACTATCCTGGCCAACATGGTGAAAATACATGATGAAAATACAAAATACAACTAAAATACAAAAATTAGCTGGGTGTGGTGGTGTGCTCTCATAGTCTCAGCTACTCAGGAGGCTGAGGCAGGAGAATCACTTGAACCCGGGAGGCAGAGGTTGCAGTGAGCCGAGATTGTGCCACTGCACTCCAGCCTGGTGACAGAGCAAGAATCCATCAAAAAAAAAAAAAAAAAAGAAAGAAAGAGAGAGAGAGAAAGAGAGAGAGAGAGAGAGAAAAGAAAGAAACAAAGAAAGAAAGAAAGAAAGAAAGAAAGAAAGAAAATAGGCAAAAGGCATGAGCAGACATTTCACTGAAGTGAAATAGATGGCACATGAACAACTTAATTAGCCATCAGGGAAATGTAAATTAATACCACAATTAGATTACTACACACCTATCAGAATGGCTAAAATAAAAAATACTGACAACACCTAATGCTGGTAAGGAGGTGGAGAAACTGGATCATTCATACATTAATGGCAGGAATATAAAATGGTACAGTCACTCTGGAAAACAGTGAGGTAGTTTCTTATAAAACTAAACATGCGACTACCATATGACCCAGCAGTTACACTCCTGGACATTTATTCCAAAGAAATGAAGATTTATATTCACACAAAAACCTGTTCACAGTTTTATTTATAATAGTCAAAACCTGGAAACAACAGATGTCCTTCAGTAGGAGAACAGTTATGTCATGTGGTATATTTGTACCATGGAATACTACTCAGCAATAAGAAATAAACTATTGATGCTACAAAAACTTACCTGGATCTTAAGTGAATTATGCTGAATGAAAAAATACGCTAGTCTTTGATGTTATATACTGTATGATTCCATTAATATTAACTTTGAAATGACAAAATTACAGACATAGAGATCAGATTAGTGATTACCAAGTATCAGAGACTGGGGTGTGAGGTAGAAGGGAAGTGGGCATGGTAATATAGAGGCAAAATGAGGGATCCTTGTGGTGATGAAACCGTTTTGTATTTTGATTGTGTAGGCAGATACATGAACTTACACATGGGATAAAACTGCATAGAACTAAACACACACACAAAAATATGTGAGTACAAGTAAAACTGGAGAAACTGGAATAAGATTGCTGAATTCTAATCATGTCAATTACCTGTTTGTGATATTGTACTATAGTTTTGCAAAATGGGGAAAATGATACAAAACTACTTCATCACCACAAGGATCCCTCATTTTGTCTTTGTATAACCATGCCCACTTCCCTTCCACCTCACACCCCAGTCTCTGACACTTGGTAATCACTAATCTGATATCTCTCTTTTATTTCTTATAATTGTATATAAATTTCCAATTATTTAAAAATAAAATGTTTAATTTTAAACAAAAGAAGAAGCCAAACCACAATACTTCTGTAGTTTGCTCAAGGTTCTACAAGCCTGAAATAAGACTAGGAATATAACCGCAATTCCCAATTTTCAGGTTCTAGATAGGTTCACTTTAAAACTAGATCTTGCAATGGAAAACCGAAAGCATTAACAGAAGTTTCAAATGTATGATTCTTCTAGACCCCTCATGACTAGCCTATAACCTCAAGGATCAGGTCTTTGTATTCACTGCTATATTTCCAACTGCTGGTGTACAGTGCCTGGCATTTAGTTCACATTCAATAAATGTTTATTGAACATATAAATGAACGAACAAATAAATTCCCAATGGACTTTTTCCTTTTCCTTCTGGCCCGTGTTCCTCTTCTTATCACCCTGGCAGACACAAAAATGACATGTAACTAACCTTTCTTTTTGTTTTCCGGAACCTTTTCTTTCTCACATTCTTAAGCGGTGGAGTAACTAAAATAAATACGAAACAGTGAAATGTTACATGACTGATGGTAGTCACATAGCTGAATTTGATAAAGTACAGTGTTGCAATCTCAGCTCACTGCAACCTTCACCTCCCGGGTTCAAGTGATTCTCCTGCCTCAGCCTCCCCTGGGATTACAGGCATGCACCACCACACCCAGCTAATTTTTTTAATTTTTAGTAGAGACAAGGTTTAGTTGACACGCTGGGCTTGAATTCCTGACCTCAGGTGATCCACCCGCCTCGGCCTCCCAAAGTGCTGGCATGAGCCACCGGCACCCAGCTGACATGACTCTTCTTAAGAGTGTCTGAGGGCCTAATGAACCAAGCACTTAAGTGTGGTGAGAGGTCCCTGTTTCACAAGGAATTAGGATTCAGCAAATAAATGTTAGTCAGCAGGAATGAGCAAGGGGCTGTGACTTACTGCCATGCTTCCAGACACCTTTCTTCTCTCTCTCCCTTTCATTTTTCCTGATTACATTAGGATCAGTAGAGGCAGCTGGTTCTTCTGGAGAAGGGTGAAGATCACCATCAGCAGTGCACACAAGCATCTACATTTAACAAAGACAAAGAAGTTGACTATGGACACAAGTCTTGGGTTAGCAATCAATCATAATCATTCTTACCACCAGAAATGCACAGAAGAGACTGATACTTGCCATTTACAGAAAGCCAAGTATTATGTAATGTACATTTCTATTCTCTCATTTCTGTGGTCTCTCTCTCTCCCTCTCCTCCCCTCCACCAGCCACCAGCAGCACTATGTATATGAACTCTGAGGGATTTTTTTTAAAGACAAGGTCTTGCTTTGTCACCTAGGCTGGAGTGCAGTGGTGCAATCATGGCTCACTGCAGCCTCAGCCTCCTGGGCTCAAGTGATCCTCCCACCTCAATCTCTAGAATAGCTAGGACTATAGGTGTGTGCCACTACACCTGGCTAATTTTGTTTTTGTAAAGATGAGGTCTCACTATGTTGCCCAGGTTGGTCTGGGCTCAGGTGATCCTCCCACCTCAGCTTCCCAAAATGTTGAGATTATAGGCGTAAGACATAGTGCCTGGCCTATCTTAGCATTTTGATTTAGAGAGGAAATAAGAAATCAACAGCAGTGATGATGAATCAGAACCAATTTAAACCTCCAGAGTTAACAACATACTGTTTTAATACCAAGTACAGAAGAAGATCCTAGCTGCTCCTGTTTCAATTAATGAAAAGTCACTATAAATGGCAAATGGGACTCTCTATAGGCTATTAGGTTAAAATAAAGTACGGAAAGCTAAGGATCAAACACCAAACTAGAACATGACATTTCATTCCTGTGCAATCGATCTGGGAATTAGAAATGCCAAGCAACCATTCACCAAGTGGAAAGGAGTACTGAAAGAAAAGTAGGGAGAGAAAAGAATTCCTTGAAGGATGTGAGGCTAGTAAAGAAAACTAGTCCATACCTGAGAAATGTCTGCTGTTTTATAAAAGGTTTCTTTATCATGAGTTTTCAGGCTTTCAGTAACACAAGGCAAGTCAACCAGCTTACCAGCTAGTTGGACATCTTCTACTTCAACAACTGCATGGCGCCTATCAGCTGAAGAGAAGTGAAAATTAAAGTTGACGTCTTCTCAGTGAACTTTTAAACTTCCTAAGGTTTGAATAATGAAGACTAGTGTGGGACAGATTAGTCTTTCCAAGAAACCTATTATCTCTCATAATGCTAGAATTGTGTGCACAATTTTGGTAGCTTCTTAAAGAAAAAAAGGGAAAGTATATGGAGCTCTTTTTGCTTAGTTTACGTCGCTTGTGCAAAAGTAGCTAAGTTTCTTGTTAATGAATGTGAACGAAATATGGGTGAAATGATACATGTTTCATTCTCATTTTGAAATGCAAATTCCATCCATTAAAACCAATTCCTTCTTTTAGAAGCATTCAATCGTGTCATTGTACATCTGTGTTTTCAAAGGGCTACGTGAGGGAAGGGTTGACTGACCTTAGAATGGGGCTAGTAAGTCTCAAGTTAAACCTCTAATTAGCTTCATAAAGATAAAATTCTATACAACAGCCATAAACTAAATTCTGAATCTTGCTGCTCAGATGTCCCAAACATGAACGTCTTTTGACACAAGAGGATTCAGTTATAATCCTCTAATATAACATGAAAAAAGAAAGATTACAAAACTATGTTTATCATGATCCTTTTTTGTGTGAATTAACCCTAAAAATACAGAGAGAGATTGTTTCAATGCTAGTATTACAAATAAAAGTTTTGTCAATTAGGAAATAGGAAGAAACAGTTAATGTTAGTTATCTGTGGTACTGAGGTTGGGGCACCCTAAGGAAGAAGAGTTTTATTTCTCCTTTGAGCTTTCGTTGCATTTGAATTTTTTTTGAGAAGGAGGAGTCTTGCTCTGTCACCCAGGCTGGATTGCAGTGGCACGATCTCTGCTCACTGCAGCCTCTGCCCCTGGGGGTTCAAGTGATTCTCATGCCTCAGCCTCCTGAGTAGCTGGGATTACAGGCATGTGCTAATTTCTGTATTTTTAGTAGAGATGGGGTTTCGCCATGTTGGTCAGGATGGTCTGGAACTCCTGACCTCAAGTGATCTGCTCACCTCAACCCCACAAAGTGCTGGGATTACAGGCATGAGCCACCACATTCAGCCTCTTTTATTTGAATTTTCTAACTATGAACTTACATTATCTTTTTTTAAAAAGTCAGTAAGTGTTAACTAAGTGGTGAGATTATGTGCCACTTTTTGTTTTCTTCTTTATATACGTCTCTATATATTTTTTAAACTAGCAAAATTTATTTATTTATTTTTAGTTGTATGTGTTTTAGGCAGACAAGCTTGTGTGCAAACATTTATTTATTTATATTTATTTATTTATGCATGATCTTGGTGCAAATGTCCTCTAGATTGACCCGTGGTGTCCCAAATGACAGAATTTTGTTTGTTTTTTTAAAGGCTGAGTAGTATTGCATTGTGTATACATACCACATTTTCTTTATCTATTCATCCATTGATGGACACTTAGGTTGATTCCATATCTTGCCTATTGTGAATACTGCTGCAATGCATATGGCAGTATAGAGAGGTATGACTTCAACATGTTAATTTCAATTCTTTCTGTGAATATATTCACGGAAGTGGGGATACTGGATCATATGGTTTTTCTGTTTTTAGTTTTCTGAGTAGCCTCCATACCATTTCAAAAAAATAATGGCTGTAGGCCGAGCACAGAGGCTCATGCCTGTAATCCCAGCACTTTGGGAGGCTGAGACAGGTGGATCACTCGAGGTCAGGAGTTCGAGACCAGCCTGGTCGATGTGGTGAAACCTCGTCTCTACTAATAATGCAAAAAAAAAAAAAAAATAGCTGGACATGGTAGTACACACCTCTAGCCCTAGCTACTCAGGAGGCTGAAGCAGGAGAATCACTTGAACCCAAGAGGCGGAGGTTGCAGCGAGGCGAGATTATGCCACTGCACTCCAGTCTGGGTGACACAGCAAGACTCCATCTCAAAAATAAATAAATTAATTAAAGGATGCATTAATTGACATTACTACCAATAGGGTACACAGGTTCCCTTTTCTCCTTATCCTCACTAACAGTTGTTATTGTTCTCCTTTTTAATAAAAGGCATTCTAACAGGTGTGAGGTGATCTTGCTGTTGCTTTAATTTGCATTCCCCTAATGATTAGTGATGCTGAGCATTTTTTCATGAACCTTTTGGCCACTTGTATGTCTTCTTTTGAGAAGTATCTGTTCAGAGCTTTTGCTCATTTTAAAATCAGGTTGTCTTCTTGCTATTGAGTTGTTTGAGTTCCTTATATATTTTGGATATTAACCCCCTAATTGGATGCATGATTTGCAAATATAGCAAATATTATTTAAAAGAAAGAAACATACAGGCTGGGTGTGGTGGCTCACGCCTGTAATCCCAGCACTTTGGGAGGCCAAGGTGGGCGGATCACAAGGTCAGGAGATCGAGACCATCCTGGCTAACACGGTAAAACCCCATCTCTACTAAGAACACAAAAATTGAGCTAGGCATGGTGGCGTGCACCTATAGGTCCAGCTACTTGGAAGGCTGAGGCAGGAAAATCGCCTGAACCCAGGAGGCGGAGGCTGTGGTGAGCCAAGATTGTGCCACTCCATTTCAGACTGGCTACAGAGCAAGACTCCATCTCAAAAAAAAAAAAAAAAAGGAAAGAAATATACGTCACCTTTGTAAACAAAGAACAGCATATTCATTTGTCATTCCCTTGGATGTTCAGAAATCATAAAGTTTATATATAGGAGACTACCAGCAGTATGAAAACCCCATGGTTGACCCCCAAGTTTCCTTAAACACACTATGAAAATCACTCAACTCAAGTTGCAATATTCCTACTTCCTTTCCTCCTCTCCAAAGCATGAGTCCATTAAGTCAGAGACCATATTCTACTATTGTTCACATCCTCAGTACCAACTATGGTGCCTGGCACACAGCAATCCCTTAATAAATTATTTTTCAATGTATAGTAAATGGATATTAACGACTTACGTGATAAGTCAATTTTCAGTTTGTCCTTAATGTCGACACTTTGAGAACGTATTAGGTTCCTGACAGCACAAGCGTGTTCCTAAAAGGGAGGTAAATTGAAAAATCAGAAGAACTAAACGTCAACTTGGCCACTAACAGAATAGATATGTCGAAGAAAGTCCTCCCTTAAATAAAACGTTATACCTCCCAAATGTTACTAGCAAGGCCACGTACCATGAGATACTGTGCACTGTATAAGTCAAGTTAGAATGAAGCTGACTCTAGTCTCATGATTGTCTCTTAGTAGCTACAGTTAATGCTTTCTCCTAGCTCTACAATCCTGCCTCTCACTGCTACCCTTCTGTTGTAGTTGCTAAAGAAAGGCTTACCTAGTTGCAGTTTGCTTGGTATATTAATTCACCCTAATTAGGGAAATAGGTTTCTGAACCTCATCCTTAATATAGCTGCCTAGACTAAGTAATGCTAGAATACAGGTATCGGTGGGAGGGGAGAGAGCCAAATACTTGTTGAGATGAACTTTGAAAGTCTTGCATGTTGGTGAATTTAGAGGAGAGACAGTACTTGCACTTCTCACTGCCCCTATTGAGGTGACAGAAAGGATTTCAGAGGAGTCTTATCTTGGCTGTCCAGGGAAGAGTCTGTTAGTATTGGTGATAAGTGACTGGGTTCATCATTGTCACAGCTGTTTTGCCAGGAAATCAACCTACATGATAGGTGGTATGTACAGGAGGAAAAAAAAATGCTGCTAAAAAAGTACATGCTAAGATAGGACTGCTTAACAGAACATGATTTCTGGGAAACAAATGTTCTGAGTTTTTATAGCCTACCTGAAATAGAAATATTACAGAATCCAAGTAGAACTATAATTATGCACTGGAGATATCTGTTCCGAGATAAAAGTTCTTACCAGAGGCAGACGCAATATAAACTGGTTCTCAACTTCATCAGGAACTTCATCATCCTGGCTTTTACTCATGTCTTAATTTTGAGTTCATGAAAGCAAAAAGAAAACCGACAGTCACTAAAAACTCCTCTTGCTCCCTCTCCTGACCACTTCTGGTAGTACTGTCTGAATTATACAAGATCTTGCCCATAATCCTCACTAGAATGATGTGTGTACAGTTAGACAATACCTTATTTGACATAACTTAATTATTTGTAAACATCACCTTATGTCCTCTCCAATATGTGTAGATTTTCCAAAGTCAATCCAAATTACATGATGTAATTTGATGAACAAATGAAATAAGAGCTATTATGAAACATTATTTCATCTTCTTAATGATATTCTTAGACTCTCAGGTAAAGGACTGCAATTCAACACGGTGGTGGCTACCTAAGCAAACTATGTAACCTCTGCAGAGAAGAATGCAAACCAAAAGCTGAAATGGACCCAGAAACCACTTGCAGAAATGCTCTGTGATGATTTGAAGTAAATAAGGGCTTGATTTTCAGTATTTCACCTACCTTAATGGATTAGTAGAAATTAACCAGTCCATGGGAGGGCAGGCAGGTTTTTAAGACTGTAGACCCAGCAACAACAGCTCTGACTACTCTGGGGAAAACTTAGGAGTCCAAGTTTTTTTGTATTTTTGTTTTGTTTTGTTTTGAGACAGAGTCTCGCTCTCACTTATATATGGAATCTAAAATAATCAAAATCATAGGAGCAGAGAATAGAGTGTTGGTTATTACAGGCTGGGGTGGGGGGAGAGGCAATGACGAGATGTTGATCTCACTATGTCGCCCAAGCTGGAGTGCAGTGGTGTGATCTTGGTTCACAACAACCTCTACCTCCCGGGTTCAAGCCATTTTCCTGTCTCAGCCTCCCACGTAGCTGGGACTACAGGTGTGTGCCACCACACCTGGCTAATTTTAATATTCTTTAGTAGAGATGGGGTTTCACCATGTTGGCCAGGCTGGTCTTGAACTCCTGACCTCAAGTGATCCACCCACCTCAGTCTCCCAAAGTGCTGGCATTACAGGTGTGAGCCACTGCACCTGGCACGGAGTCCAGTTCTTTTTTTCTTTTCTTTTTTAAGATGGCGTTTCACTCGTGTTGCCCAGGCTGGAGTGCAATGGCGCGATCTCAGCTCACAGCAACCTCTGCCTTCCGGGTTCAAGCGATTCTCCTGCCTCAACCTCCTGAGTAGCTGGGATTAAAGGCATGCACCATCACTCCTGGCTAATTTTGTATTTTTAGTAGAGACGGGGTTTCTCCATGTTGGTCAGGCTGGTCTCAAACTCCCAACCTCAGGTGATCCGCCCACCTCAGCCTCCCAAAGTGCTGGGATTACAGGCGTTAGCCACCACACCCAGCTGAATTCCAGTTCTTATCTTTAGACTCTATGCGAGTATATCTTACTTCATGGGCTAGATGTATTCCTGAAAGGGTGATATTAATAGAACATAAAATCTGATTTGATTTATTCATTACTACCCTTTATGGTGGGCATTCTATATGCCCAGTGCTACATTAAGTGCATTAGGCCTATCATTTCATATAATCCTCACAACCACCACTTACTTTGAAGGCTCCCAAAAGCTATTTAAAAGAACTCTAAGATGGATTCCTTTATATAATATATATACCTTTGGTGAAGTGAATACTTTCTTCCAAGTTAATCTTTTTTCACAAATTATAATAATATATAAGGCTGGGTGCGGCGGCTCATGCCTGTAATCCCAGCACTTTGGGAGGATGAGGCAGGCAGATCGCCTGAGGTCAGGAGTTCAAGACCAGCCTGGTCAATATGGTGAAACCCCGTCTCTATTAAAAATACAAAAATTAGCTGGGGATGGTGTGCAGGTGCCTGTAATCCCAGCTACTCAGGAGGCTGAGGCAAGAGAATTGCTTCAACCTGGGAGGCAGAGGTTGCAGTGAGCTTAAATCGTGCTATTGCACTCCAGTGTGGGGGACAGGAGTGAGACTTTATCGCAAAATAATAATAATAATTATTATTATGGGGTACATAATGATGTTATGATATACAGTGTGAAATGACTGAATCAATCTAATTAACATATCCATCACCTAAAATACTTATCAGTTATTCCCCCTAACTGCAACTTTCATTTTTTAATTTTAAAAGCCAGTCAAATTTGGCAGTGGGAGACTGTATACCAACTTTAGTGGCATTAATGTTAATCGGTTCTGATAATATCCCACTACTTTCGGACCGGCCCTACCGAAACTTTCTATTCTTTGATCGACATCTCGTCATTGCCCCTCCCCGCACCCCAGCCTGTAATAACCAACACTCTATTCTCTGCTTCTATGATTTTGATTATTTTAGATTCCATATATAAGTGAGAATATGTGATTTTTGTCTTTCTCTGCCTGGCTTATTTTACGTAATATAATGTTCTCCAGATTCATCCATGTTGTTGCAAATGACAGAATTTCCTTCTTTTTAAAGGCAGAATAGTATTCAGTTGGGTACACATACCACATATTTGTCCATTCACTTGTTAATGGACACCTAGGTTGACTTCATAACTTGGGTATTGTGAGTAATGCTGCAGTGAACATGTATATGCAGATACCTCTTTGACACATCGATTTCAAGTTTTTAGGATATATATCCATAAGTGAGATCGCTAGATCCCAAATTTTTATTTTACCATTTTTCCATTTTCTCATTTCTTGTTTTTCAATTTTATGATCTTCCAATGAACCAAGTCTTTATTTCTAATCTTATTTTCCATGTATTTGGTATGTATTTGTAGAGCTTTGCATTTTGGGTATTAGGGCCCACACTTTTTCTTTGAGACAGTTTCACTCTTGTTGCCCAGGTTGGAGTGCAATGGCATGATCTCAGCTCACTGCAACCTCCACCTCCCAAGTTTAAGCAATTCTCCTGCCTCAGTCGCTCAAGTAGCTGGGGACTACAGGCACCTGCCCTCCATGCCTGGCTAATTTTTTTTTTTTTTTTTTTTTTTTTTTTTTTTTGGTATATTTAGTAGAGAAAGGGTTTCGCCGAGTTGGCCAGGCTGATCTCGAACTCCTGACCTCAGGTGTTCCACCCGCCACGGCCTCCCAAAGTGTTGGGATTACAGATCTGAGGCACTGGGCCCAGCCGGGCCCACACTACTGAGGAAGATTGTTCTCAAATGTGGAAAGACGGCCGGGCGCGGTGGCTCACTCCTGTAATCTCAGCGCTTTGGGAGGCCGAGGGGGGGCAGATCACCTGGGGTCATGAGTTTGAGACCAGCCTGGCTAACATGGTGAAATCCTGTCTCTACTAAAGATACAAAAATTAGCCGGGCGGAGTGGTAGACGCCTGCAATCCCAGCTACTTGGGAGGCTGAGGCAAGAGAATCGGCTGAACTCGGGAGGTGGAAGTGGCAGTGAGCCAAGATGGTGCCACTGCACTCCAGTCCCAACGAGACTCCGCCCCCCCCCAAAAAAGCGGAAAGAAAGCAATGTACATATATGAAACCTGACAAAGTTTTCTAAAGGCACTATGATAGATATCATACACCAAGTTAAAAGATTTTCTTTCTCTATTTTTTTTTTTTTTATTTTAGACAGAGTTTCACTCTTGTTGCCCAGGCTGGAGTGCATCAACTCGGCTTACCCGCAACCTCCGCCTGCTGGGTTCAAACAATTCTCCTGCCTCAGCCGCCCGAGTAGCTGGGATTACAGGTGCCAACCACCACGCCTGGCTAACATTTTTTTTGTATTTTTAGTAGAGACGGGGTTTCACCATGTTGGTCAGGCTGGTCTCGAATTCCCAACCTCAGGTGATCCGCCCACGTCAGCCTCCCAAAACTGCTGGGATTACAGGCGTGAGCCACCGCACCCGGCCTATAAGATCTTATACCTTAAGTTAGAGTAAAAGTTCCAGTTAATGTACAATCCCTAATACTCTGTAAACCATTAACTGGGTTAACAGTTTTAAATTAGAATCTAGGTAAAAACACTGGAACCTTTTTTCAGCACATACAAGCGGATTTGGGACCCTATTAGGGTAAAATTATTCACCAGTAATGATTTCGATCCCTTAAAACTATGAGAAAGGCATAGAAAAAAACAAAGAGGGGCCAGGTGCGGTGGCTCATGCCTGTAATCCCAGCACTTTGGGAGGCCGAGACGGGTGGATCACTTGAGGTCAGGAGTTAGAGACCAGCTTGGCCAACATGGTGAAACCCCATCTCTACTAAACACACGAAAAGTAGCCGGGCATGGTGGCTCCCGTCTGTAGTCCCAGCTACTCGGGAGGCTGAGGCAGGAGAATCGCTTGAACCCGGGAGTGGGAGGTGGCAGTGAGCCGAGATTACGCTACTGCACTCCTGCCTGGGCAACACAGTGCGACTCCTCCTCAAAAAAAAAAAGAAAAGAAAAGAAAAGAAAAGTCAGCAGTAGAAAAGCAGACACCCAGGGTGGAAGGAGGAAAGATGCATTATTTGTGATTGTAATTTCTTCTCTTCTTGGTTCATACAGATATATATGCAAAAGTGAAATGTAAATACAACGAGAGTTGATTAAAATACATAAAAAATCTGGGGGTTGAGCACATTCCCTAACAGAACATAGTAACAATTAAGGCTGAGAGCAGGAACAGATTATTTGAAGAACTAGCTGCTAAGCAAGATTTTATCAGATCAGTAGTAACCTTTAGATTTCTCAGCAGAACTAAAACTAGGGCATTTTGTTCATTCCCAAGCCTTTTTGGTAATTCTTCTTTTTTGGAAGAAAGAATGTAAGAACTGAAACTATTTCAATGTAGTTGTTTTGTAAGCAGACCTAATAAAAAAAAGTCCAGCGGGGGAGAAGTTGGACAATCCTGGTTGAACTGGGTTTTAATTTTTTAAATTTTTTCCTTGCATTTACCTACAAAACTAGTTGTTTGGTATTCACTTTAAGAAAAAGCATCGGCTTTTTTCCAGCAAGCCCTCTTTGATACCTGATTAAATTAACAGGACCCTTCCCACCATTCACCTCTAGCTCCACCTCGGTGTAGTAGAATTACAATTGGAATTATAATTGGCTGGAGGGCGCCTGGGAGCACGCTCCAGGCCGTGCAAGTAAGTAGAAGCCTAAACCGGGATTTTATCAAGTTCGCAGTCGCCGGCTGCAGTTTAGAGACTAACCCGCACTCCATCCTTATCCCCGGGGCACTAAGCTCTGCAAGGAACAGTTGGATCCCTAGGCTTTTATCCGGTTTCCCTTGAAAACCTCCCGCTGGACCCTAAAGGTCGCCACGGGTCCCAGCCTTCGCGCCTCGCATTGCAGGCGGGCTGGGGATGGCGGCGGAGTGCACCGCTGTGGGGCGCTCACCCGGTCGGCCTTCCGACTCAGCCGCTCCTCCGCGGAGTGGCGCCGGCACCGAAAAGGCTGGGACCCGCGTCTCTGGCCGATGGGTTCCGGGCGAACTGCGAGTGGTCTCCCGCGCGGACCGTAGAGGTGAATGCTGGGCGGCCGGCGCCTGGACAGTAAAAGCGGCGCGCGCCGGCCCCTCCCCGCCTCGCCACGCCTCCGTGGCCGAGCTGCCCAGGCGACTGGAGGACGACCTCGAGGCAGCGGCCGGCTCACCGCGTGCTGGGCCGGAAGGCTTGAAAGGCACCGAGCGCTGAGGGGAGGGCTGAGGGGGACGCGTCCTGTCAGGGACCTCGCGAAATAAGATCGAGGCTTCAAAACAAGTTAACCTTGGCCGGGCGCGGTGGCTCTAGCCTGTAATCCCAGCACTTTGGAAGGCGGAGGCGGGCGGATCACGAGGTCAAAAGATCCAGCTCATCCTGGTCAACATGGTGAAACCCGGTCTCTACTAAAAATACAAAAATTTTCTGGGCATGGTGGCTCGTGCCTGTAATCCCAGCTACTCAGGAGGCTGAGGCAGGAGAATTGCCTGAACCCAGGAGGCGGAGGTTGCGGTGAGCCCAGATCGCGCCATGGCACTCCAGCCTGGGCGACAAGAGCGAAACTCTATCTCAGAAAAAAAAAAATAATAATAAAAGCGAGTTGCCTGCTTTTGGTTGCTCCACGATTCCGTCAGGTCAGACGGTTTGTCCCTAGGCACGGTGACCTCAGCTAGTGACAAATACACTGCCGTGCAAACCCACTGAACAACTAGAATCTAAGCCCAAAGTCCTCTAACATGATCCGCTGCTTCCCTCTCCTCAACAGGGTCCTCTGGACGCGGGCACACGTTACACCACCCATTGCTCCTCAAGCGGGCTGCGAATCAAACAAATTTGTAATCGAACTAAAAGCACTTTGTTTCTCCAAAAGAAGGTCCTCCGATGGGGGAAAAACCTTAAAAAGCCGCCTACCTTTCCCTTCCTGGGAATTTTCTGGGGCCTGGGCAGCATCTTCGGGGCTGCCGTCCTCACCCCTTTGAGAGTCTTGTTCGTCAGGAATCCCTATGCCTTGGTCTCTATCAATGGCGGCGCTGCTTTCGCAGTTGGTCTCAGACACTCGGTCAACAAGAATTTGGGGCTCTTGTTGACTAGTTACTTCCGATGTTGAAACTACTGGGGTTGAATCATTTTCTGAAGAAATGAGAAGCTGTCCCTCCCGGCACTCCATGGTCCACCTCGTTGGGGTTGCAAAATGGCTTCCTGTGTAGTCATGTGACCTGGAGAGGGTTCCAGAACCTTCGTAAATATAAAAGATTTTTTATGTCTTTAACACGTAATACTATTAGGGACATTGCTGGTGCCTGTTCAAGATTGTAGCGGCCAACTCTCCACTGCCTAACACTTACCTAAACTTAATAATAGGGAATAAATATTCTCGGAAGACTATTCTACAATCATTTTCTATTGAGACTTTTTTTTTTTCATTTAATTAAACTAGATTATCAAAACTTCAGACCTAGACAAAATAATTTTGATCTCTTTTAGAATCCATCTGCTAATCTTTATTTTGGCGTTATGCCATGAGGCTACATCAAGGATTATGATACAAAATAAGCCAACGAGACCAGTTTTACGTTTACTGTACAATATTCTTGAAGGCACTCATTATATCAAAAAAGAATCCTTTTATGAAAACTGAAAAGAAAATTCTGTTTTTGGTAACTGAAATAGCTGATTGTTTTGAATTGTAAGAATAGTGTGAAATATTTAATTAAGCCTATGATGGCTGCTAGGAAGCTCAGAACCAAATTTACAACCCACCTCTAATTTAAACTATGAGACTTACTGGCATATGTTGACTTTTATCTTAAATAACTGTGTTATCTCCCATTTCCCTAATGATTTTTTTGTCTTATGCAGTAAATAACACTAAAAGCTGCTCAAAGCCTTTTCAAAAACAATCAGATATATACGTTAGGTAAATGAAAATAGTACTCCTGGCCGGGCACGGTGGCTCACACCCACAGACCTGATCCCAACAATGTGGGAGGCCAAGGCAGGTGGATCACCTCAGGTCAGAAGTTTGAGACCAGCCTGGCCAACATGATGAGACCCCACCTGCACTCTGACCTCTACTAAAAATACAAAAATTAGCTGGGCATGGTGGCGTGCACCTGTTATCCCAGCTACTAGGCAGGTTGAGGCATGAGAATTGCTTGAACCCAGGAGGTGGAGGTTGCAGGGAGCCGAGATCATGCCACTGCACTCCAACCTGGGTGGCAGAGCGAGATTCTTTCTCAAAAAAAGAAGAAGAAGAAGAAAAAAAGAAAAAAGAAAATCGTACTCCTGACAAAAATATCTCAGGTAACATCTCTGTGGATAGAGGAGGGGAACACAGTAACTGCTCACTTATAAATTCAGTCATCCAACAAGTGTCAATTGAGAATTTAGTGTGCCAGACAGGATTTGCAACTTTTATTAAATGCTTAAAATATGGTTAAGTGTTTCATGAGAAGAAGGCAGACATTATCCTTCAGAAAGTTAATCTAGTTAGAGCATACACATATGTAACTTTTTAATTATTGCCAGATTTCCAGCCTCTTCTTAAGGAAACGGGGTAATAAAAAGTGGAAGAAAGGAAATGATAAGAATTATGGTTTCTCTTGGTAGGGGAGAGGTGACCAAGAAGTAACATGATGTACAAATACAGAAAAAACTGCCTTACTGTCTTATACATACTACCATATTGTCAGATACATAGAGAGTGTATTTCCGGGTTCTATTCTGTCATGCTGTAGTTTCTTTTTAATAAGTTATTTTGCATGCTTTTCCCTATAAAGCATCCTTCCCCCTCCCTAACTATGCTTCAGTTTCATCATTATAGCAAATATGCAGCTGCATGTGTTCCTTCAATAGAAGTTTATTAGGAATCGAGAATTGTCCTAAGGTTATTAATAGCTAACATTCACTGAATGTTTACGTGCTAGGCTCTTTGCTAATCCTTTGTACGCATTATTTCATTTAACCCTCACACTTGCCCTCTGAGTTTGTTATGATTATGATTCTGTTTTGGGGTTTTTGTTTTCAGATTAGCAAACTGAGATTTTAAAAGGTTAATTAACCTTATCTTTCATCATATAGAAAATGGATCATAGACTTAAATGTAATCTTCAAAATGGATCGGAGACTTTTAAATGTAAAACCTGGCACTATAAAACTATGAAAAGAAAATACTGAGGAAACTACAGGACATTGGATTGGGCAAAGATTTTTTTTTTTTTTTTTTTTTTTTTGGTAAGACCTCAAAAGCACGGATGACAAAAGCAGAGATAGACAAATGGGATCACATCAGGAGAAAATATTTGCAAACTATACATCCAACAAGGAATTAATAACCAGACTATATAAGGAACTCAAACAACTCAATAGAAAACACACACACACACACACACACACACACACACACACACACAGAGAGAGAGAGAGAGAGAGAGAGAGAGAGAAATAATATTTAAATGGGCAAAGATCTCAATACGTCTTAAAAGAAGAGATACAAATGACCAACAGATATATGAAAAAATGCTGAAAATCACTAATCATTAGGGAAGTGCAAATTAAAATCACAATGAAATATCATCTCATTTCTGTTAGAATACCTATTATCAAAAAGACCAAAAAAAAAAAAAAAAAGAAAAAAAAAAAGAAAGAAAATAGCAAATGCTGACAGGGATGCAGATAAAGGGAAACCCTTGTACACTGTTGGTGGGAATATAAAGTAGTGCAGCCATTATGGAAAACAGTATGGAGGTTCCTCAAGAAACTAAAAATAGGGCAGGTTGGTGGCTTACACCAGTAATTCCAGCACTTTGGGAGGCCAGGCGGGAGGATCACTTGAGCCCAGGAATTCGAGACCAGCCTGGGCAATATAGTGAGACATCATCTCTAAATAAATAAATAAATAAGAAACTAAAAATAGAATTGTCATTTGCCCCAGTAGTCCCATCACTAGGTATAGGTATAGGTGTATATATATATATATATATATAGGATATATCCAAAAGAGAGGAAATCAGTATATTAAAGAGCTCTGCACTCCTAAGTTTATTGAAGCACTATTCACAATAACCAAGATATGGAATCAACCTAAGTGTTCATCAACGAATGAACAGAGAAAGAAAATGAGATATATATATACACAATAGAATATTATTCAGCCATAAAAAGAATGAAATCCCATCATTTGCAGCAGCATGGATGGCCATTATGTTAAGTGAAATAAGCTAGACATAGAAAGACAAATATTGCATGTTCTCACTCGTATGTGGGAGCTAAAAAAGTAGATGTCATGAAGGTAGAGAAAAAAATGGTGGTTACCAGAAGCTAGGAGGGTGAAATGAAGAGAAGTGGGTTAAGGAGTATAAAAATACAGTTCAGTAGAAGTAATAAGTTCTAGTATTCAGTTGTACATTAGGGAAATTATACTAAAAATAATTCATTGTATATTTCTAAGTAATTGGAATAGAAGAATTGTAATGTTCCCAATACAAAGAAAAGATAAAAATATTTCAGGTGATGGATATACCCATTACCCTGATTTGAACATTACACATTGTAGGTATCAACTATTACATGTATCCCCCCAAAATATGCACTATGATTATACATGAATTTAAAAGAAATATGTAAATTATGGATAAATTTGATCAGTTATTTATAATAATCAAAATTCTATCTTCTAGGTATTAGATTTTGGTATTACACAGACTCTAAACTTCTAATTATTTTTAATATACTTATAAAATAAGCTAAAATTTTTCTTAATATTGTATATTAGCAGTCAACCCTAGAATGTGGTTTTTCTTTTTCTTTTTCTTTTTCTTTTCTTTTTTTTTTTTTTTTTTTTGAGACGGAGTTTCGCTCTTTGTTGCCCGGGCTGGAGTGCAGTGGCACGATCTCGGCTCACTGCAACCTCCGCCTTACACTTTCAAGTGATTCTCCTGTCTGAGCCTCCCGAGTAGCTGGGATTACAGGCATGCGCTACCCAGCTAATTTTGTATTTTTAGTAGAGATGGGATTTCACTATGTTGGCCAGGCTGATCTCGAACTCCTGACCTCAGGTGATCCACCTGCCTTGGCCTCCCAAAGTGCTGGGATTAGAGGCATGAGCCACCGTGCCTCTCCGAGTGTGATTTTTATTCTCAGATCTATGTATATGCCTAAACTATATTTTATTTAAGTGCATTATGTACGTAATATAGGAGAGGAGACAAGAACTCAACATAAAATTAACAGAAAATGGACATGTAATAAGATGTCCATTATATATTTGATGCTTACTATGCATCAGAATCTTTGGAGGAGCTTTTTTTTAAAAAAAATGCAGATGTAAAGTTCCTATCTTTTCAGAGATTCTGATTCAGTGGTCTTGGGGTGAGGCATGGGTATTGCTCTAGGTATGTTTTTAAATTTCAGATTTCACATTATTCCAATGTGTAGCCAGGATTGAAAGCCATTATACATCTAGTTTCCTTGGAGCATAGGCAAAGGAGGAGTCAAAAAGAATTGACTTTTTATATCCTGCACTCTCTAGGAGAGAGAGAGAGTCTGAAACTGGGAGATGTGAACAACCTTTTCTAGAAAGACAGGTACTGTCTGCTGTGTCTCACAGAAGTCTGGATTAGATTTTGCTTAAGACAATTCACATTTCTTTGCTCTGATTACTTACTTCGCAAGTAACATTCTGATTATTACTTCAGCCTCTTTGATATTGAAAAATTATAAAAAGATGTGCCTGAAATAAGGTGTTTGAGCATTCTTTTCTAGATACTTGAGTGTCTAAAATTGTCATTCTAGGTTATCCATTAGTATATCTTGTGAGTTTGCTGACAAGAGGAACTGACAAGATTGAGTTTTGAAGCTGTGAGGCTGAATGCCAGATCCTGATTCCTGATAAATTTACCAAATTAGCTGGGTGAGGTGGCTTATCCCTATAATCCCAAACCTTCTGGAGGCCGAGGCGGTTGGATCTCTTGAGCTCAGGAATTTGAGACCAGCCTGGGCAACACAGTGAAACCCCATCCCTACAAAAACTACAAAAATTAGCTGAGCATGGTGGCATGTACCTGCCCAGATATTTAGGAGGCTAAGATAGGAGGATCACTTGAGCCTGGGAGGTTGAGGCTGCAGTGGCCCGAGATAGTGCCACTGCACTCCAGCCTGGGTGATAGTGTGAGACCCCGTCTCAAGA